GTAAACAAAGAAACCTAGAAAGATGCAAGAAAAACTCTCGTATTTGTCTCGGTGAACGTCCGATGCGCTGGTGCTGCGTGTGCTTTCCGTTTTTTTTTATTTCTCTGAGTTATATGAAAAACTCGTTCTCACATTGTGGTTTCCGCTTTAATTTCATTTCTTGTGCTCTTCCTCGGCGATAACTTTTCTTTACCATTGAATTTATATTTCACGAAAGCACGCTCTACGTTCCTCTTTTTCTTCATTGCTTCAAATTCTTCTTCTTCGTCATAATTTTTTTCTCTTTCCATTTGTACATTCTGCTACAGCAACGTTTCTACAGCATTATTTATTCTACTGAGTTTTGTACATCTGATCGAAAGTTAAACGGCTAAGCCGACGGCAAACGTCACAACCAATTGTGGTTTTTTTTTTCACGAGTTCCGTGTCATTTGCAGTAGTTTCAAGAGCCGCATTTCTTGACAGATACAGTCTTCCACTTCAACTACATTATTTTTCAGCACAGAATGAGCTGAATAGAGACCGGTCAATTTGGTTTTTTAGTGGCCAAAAATCAACGATTTACTTTGATATCCAAAGTTTTTTGGATTATGAACAACAAAAAAATCAATAACATTCAACTAGGTTTTGACAAAGTTCATAGTTTTTTTTCGCATTTATTCAATTTGGTTTCATTTTAACTTGTTCATTTTTTTTCAAGGATTTCCGCATTTCCTTTCCGAAGAAATTAAATTTTTTCAACGAATTCTTTTTTCGGCTCTGCGGATACAAATTGAATGATTTTCTTTAACTTTAATCAATATGACATCCTTTCAATTGAAAATGCGAGCACAGCAACAGCTGTTCGCGCTCTAATACGAGTAGAACGCTTCAGCTTTGCCAGTTTCTAAGGCTGAGTAAATCAAATGATCAAAGTAAAAAAAAAGTTGGGAACAAAAAAATGAATTTATAATTCCATACGACTTGATGGGAGGGAGCTCCCATTCTTCCTAGGAAGTAAAGTTGAAACGAGCGCATAAATATTATCAAGTGGCTCAGTTTTCAATCAGAGCGAATCTTCTTTGTCGGAACGGCCAATTAATTTGTAATTGGATTTATTTATTATCAGCGAATGATCGAAGGATTTTGGCCGATAGGATGCGTGGGATATATGCACAAATCTGTGTGGGACAAAGTTGTAAAAATCTCATTACATATTGAGTGGCTCGACTCCAGATTATAGCTGGCTTTATTTGCTAATGATCCGCTAATAAATCCATTTTATGACGTTACAACCGAAGCTCTTGCCTTCATTATCATCAGTGACCGAAGTCTTCTTCTTATCGTTTTTTTTTTTGCTTCTTAGCCATGAAATGTCCGTTTCTGCATCTGTACAAATCCAAGTCATATTTTGTATCGTCTTTAATGAAGCGGAAAGCGACAGTGACTCTCTTTGAATCCATTTAAATCTGAATGAATAAATTAAGACTTACCTCGGCCGGCGGATACATTCATACCATAAATCCGGTACTTGCGGCAAAATATTACCTAACGACAAGCATAATCGACTTCTGGGAAATCGCCCGCCAACAATGAAACGAAAATGAAAAAAAAAAACAAAATTAATGAAGCTGCACACATTTTTTCATTCAACATATTGCGTGTCATTTATGGCGATCCATTCAATTGAGTGAAATTGTGTGTCAATCTTATTGATTCTAATTTTGTGTATTTGGCGAACTTTGACCTCATTACCACATCTTCTAGGGTTTTAAATCGATTTTGGCAAACAAAACAAAAGAAGTAAATCTCAAACGCGCGAGCATGCTGACAGTAAAAGATTTATCCTTGTTGCTTGTCTGCTTTGCCGAAAAAGAGAGTGCACGATAATCCAGTCAGTTAATCCTTTGCGTCACAATTTGATTGCATTTCTGTCGGCGAGATGTCTTTTACACTTTATTAACATGTGATTTTGAGAGACTAGACAAAACGCAACATGACATTCGAAATAACCACATTGTGCTAAAATAAAACCAACCGAATGGCGTTGAAAGAATAAAAGGAGAAAAACGACCTCGAATCACAACAAAGAATTGGCAAAATTAAAATGGTTTTCATGCATAAAAATATGAAATATTACCAAGTGGTGGGCTTTTGTATTAAGACATCATTCGCAACATGCAATACGCTGTAAATATTTACTTGTATGCTTATCACTCATAAATTTTTTTTTCTTCTTTGCAAAGGCTAAGGACACGATGGATATTTTTTTTCTGTTGTTGCTGTTGTTTGGTTGCCATGGATTTATGCGTATTTGTGTGTAATGTTTTGGCGTATTTTTCTGACATTTCACAAGAACGTACATTTAACGTGCTGCCAGCATGAGATTCCATCTTTAAGCTCATCTCTCCGCTCTGGCGGGACTTTTTACGTATGCGAGCACCATTTTTGTCGGCATTTGCACGTACACGCACCAACAACAAAATTGCTCTCGCTGAAAGTGTGTATCTCTATGCCTTGTTGTCGTTTTTTTTCCCACTATGTGTATGGTGTAGACGCTGGTTCTCCTTTTGATAGGCTTAAAGATGTACTTGAGAGCATTCAGTTCAACTGGCTCGATGATATTCATTTCATATTTTCGCTCGGTTGAGAAATACGCAAATACACACATACATTGTATACATACAATACAGCACCAAATTGCTTTGGGCTACTGCACGTTTTTGCAAAACTCTACCACAAAAAAAAGAAAACAAACCAAAAATATTTGCAGTGTATACGGTGGCGTTTGTCGAGTTACGAATGAAGGCAACAAACACAATTGAGAATTTTGAATAAATTGTCTGGGCGAAATGTTGAATTACATGCTGAAGGTAGGGTGCGCGTGTATGGAGATTTAATCGGATCGATATTTTTTGCCTTTCGGCTGTGTCGGCACACGCATACACACACAAATACCCGCCGAAAAAAAACAGAGGAAGATAGCAAGAGCAGGACAACATTAAAACGAAACTATGAGTTTTGCACCAGTATCATCAAGATCAATAGCAGCAGCAGCATCAGCATCCATTTACATTTAGTTATATTTACAAATTTACAGTCGTAATATGCGTAACTTGGGGCAAACGTAATCGAAATAGAAAATGCAGATGAAGACGATGAAGAGGCGAGAGATCGGAGCAACGAGAGCGGATAAGCGGTGTATGGAGGTGGGTGGGGAGTGGGTACGCACTAAAAACTACACGACCATTCGGTTAAACGAATCCAAAACATCATCTATATGCGACGGAAGTACTGAAGCACTGTGGCACGCACCACAACTATACAATTCCATCGATAATACGCTGAAATATTTAGCACACGGAGCACAGAACAAGGAAAAAAATACACACACATCAACATTCGCTTAACTTGAAGAACGGAATTGTTGAAGAAAATAAATCTCAATGAAATGGCAGCGTGGTTGTGGCACAGGCATGCTTCTCTACTCAACATAAAAGGTTTTCATAATTTTGCTCGTGTTTTTGTTTTGTTTTCATTCTCATCTACTTCGTCTCCTACTCTTTATTGAGGCGCAATGCTTACACACACGCATCGTGACTATAACTTGTATGCCACGATTATGGTTTTTATGTACTTGATTTAGAGAGAGAGAGAAGGAGAGAGAGAGAGAGAGAGAGAGAGAGAGGGGAGAGAGAGAGAGAGAGAGAGAGAGAGAGAGAGAAAAAAACATACGGAGTGGCGGAGATAAATAGCGTGGTGTATAGTCAAATGAGTAGTAAAATAATTTACCTTCCGGCCAAGAAAAAAGCGCTATTTTTTCTTTCGCTCTCGAATATGAGTGCTGCAACAGCGTTACTCGCTGTGTATTTGTCAAATGCAGGAGCCAACAGCAACACAGGATAGAGAACGAGCAATAGAGATCCTCAGTGAGATGTAAAGTCAACACCAATCGTAAAAATGGGTTATGTAATCACACATGCACGCGTAGTAAAATTTGAGATAAGAAAGTTGGCTCTTTCCCTTTTTTGTCGCTCGCGCACCCCATCCCGCACACAATGCCATTAACATTTCGCATTATACAGCTCCTTTCATCAAATGGCCACGAATATGATGATTTTTGTATCCTTGATATATTTAGTAGAATGTTGTTGTTTGGTCACTTGAGAGTCTTGCGAATTCCTTCAGTTTGTATTACGATATGACGCTATACGCATTTATATACAGCTCACACCATTATTTTGACTATTTTGACGGGAGTTATTTTACTTTTGCTCGACTTTTTCTGATCACAACTTCCGATAAGCGACGACTATCTGCATTCGAAATGAAATATCATCCCCAGTAACGATGGTATCAGTTTACCGCCAAAACAGTTCAGTTTCATCAAATGCGGAAAAAATGGAAACAATTCTTGCTGCTTTTTGCTTCAAACTCAATCCTTAACACAATCACTCATCTCCTTTCAGTTCTTTCGACATGAGAGCAGCAATCCTGTTACTTCACATCGCAACGACGGTTCTTCCTCTTTCGATTCTTCGGCATTCCGCATTTTTTTTTTGGCAATGAAACGCAACGCTTTGGCATTTGATATGCGGCACGACAGCCCAATTTGATGTTGAATTGAATCAAGTCCCCAGTGACATGTTCGATGTTCCGAGTCGCAGGATTCAACCGAACGCGCCGTTCAACAGCAGGCGAACGCCACTTCTCCGCATTTCCAACTCAACGAAACATGGGGAAATCGGTATGTGGCATGAATGAGAGCTCTAGTTTCTGTGCACAGACTATATCAAGACTCTTCAATAGCCACCAATGGAAAACATAGCGCGAACATCGACCGAAATGTTTTTTTTTGGTTGGAGGAGAATATCTACCACACAGCGTTTTACTTCCCATACTGCAGAGGCATACTGGATTCGAAACCGTAGCTAGAAAAAAAAGAACTACGGCTGCTGCCGTCGTCAACAGCATGAATATGATTTAATTCGGCGCGGTTGCACAATGTACCGAACAGTTTTCCAAAGTAAGTCGTTGCGTTCAGACGTTTGTGTCGTCTGCGTGTGACACATTCAAATTAAAAAGCCACTTTTTTGAACTCAACATCATTTTCATCATTTCATCTCCTATCTCTTCATATCTTTTTGGAGATATACAATTTCTATTTTTGGAGAGCGGAAAAAATTTCAACAGACAAAAGTGAAATATTCCGGTTAATTTTATTTTTCGTGCTGTTGAATTCGTGATTATGCTCAATTTTTAAGTGAATATTTGTTTTATCAGCCAACGGAAAATTTAAAAAATCAACATTTAATCACCATCATCTGCACGCCACAATCTCATGCTGTGCTCGTAAATTAATAACACGCGCAATACAGATATAGTTTATGGATTTATGTAAATAAATAAGTGCAAAAAAAACAACAACAACAAAAAACAAAATTGGATATACATTAAAATATCGTTACTGTGTGCAACATTTAAAATTTGAAAAATTCTGTCTCTGGAAATAAATGTGAGAAAAAAATGCAGAGAATTTAAAATATAATACGGCTTATTTTAAAATAAACACTGTTCATTCATCTGGTGCAAAAATTATTGGTGACAGAATAAAAAAACCTGACTGACTGTTAACCGTTAGACCTTTCAATCCAAAGAGACTTTATTTCGGGATTTTCGATTTGTGAGCGAAACGACCACGAAAAACTACAGTTGTTGAGAAGTACATATGGATTTTTTGTTTTAGAACCGATCGCATTAAACGCAACGACACATTGTGTTTGGAGAAATCTGTCGAAAAAACAAACACAACTTAAATATACATTATATTAAAGTCGACATTTCACCAAATGAAAAAAAAAACTGCCATCGTTTTTCATCGCAGAATTTCAGTGATTTCTGGACGTTGTGAACTCACAAACATGCATACACATAATTCTAAGATTCAGATGGTAATAACAATAATAACATAAATATTCAAAGTTTTCGGTGATTCAAAAAGGGAGAAACGAAAGTCAAATAAATCACTTGAAGTGAAACCAACCAAGTTTAGTGCACAATTTATATCTCGTGTCAACTGAACGCTCAAATAGAAATATTCGCAAGCGAAAGTCGAAAGTAAAGCCAGAGAACGAAAAAAGAAAGAAATAGAAAAAAAGAAACCGCACACGCATATTCTGAACCGCTATCAAGAGTCGCAAAGAACCTTTTTTTGCTTCTTTGTGTTTGTGTCGAAAGTAAAAGCAAGTGGTGCTTGTTTGGCGAAAAAAGCAAACGTTGAATCGGTGTGAAAAATTCTTCTTTCTTTCTTCGGTGAAGTTGACACCCTTGAAATACAAATCGAAAGAGAAGACGCTGCCCTCCAATTCGATAACAAATTTGTTCGCATCAATTTCGATTTATCGAATTTTACCCGGTTGAATTGGTGTGAACAAAAAAGTGTCAGAATTTTAATCTATGAAAATTGGTGTGATAAGGATAAGAAATTGCTCTCGAACGTGTTAGCATCCTTTTTCCGCTAGAACCGTATCCAAGCATAACCACCCTCTTGTGTTTGTTATTATTGTTCGTGGCCAAAAAGAGAGAGTAGATACAGTGCGGTGGTGAGGTGACAGTGTGTAACCAATTTTTGTGATAAAAATGATGATGGATTGAATTTGTGTGCCGAAGACTCTGACGATGATGATGCTTGTTATTCCATTTGTTAAATAAATATTGATACAAAGCAATTAGTGTTTACACAGTAATTGTGGAAATTTTTTGCTTTACACTGTGTCAATCGGCTCAACAGTCGACCGTTCTCGAAAATCGAACAAAGTATGATATATAGCAAAGGAAAAAGAAGAAGAATAACATTTTTACCGACACCCATGTAGAAAGATATATAGAAAGAAAAAAAAAAAACATTCAATTGGATTTCCGTTCTTTCAATACTGCAAACATCAACAGAAATTTTTGCTTCGCCCCAGCTGACGAACAGAAACAAATAGCACACAAGAAATGAACAAACAAAAATATAAAAGAATCCAACGTTAAACATAGCAAATAAAAGAAAATGTGAAGTGAAATCATAAAACACCAGAAAAGGCAGGAAGAAAAGAAAAAAGAAAAAAACAGACCGCGTGAAAGAGAGAAAGACGTGAAGTCACAAACACGTCAAATGAATGTCGCATCGCATTTAGATCGTGTACACACCATTTTACATGCACAATCTTAATCCCAACGTCTAACATTTATTTAGGTAAATGAATATCGCACAAGAGTGTGACAACCATTTCAAGAGAAAGTGACACACACACACCACGAGTATTTTGATACCGTTCTTATTCTATTGTGCTTAGTGACACGGCATAGAGAGGGGACACAGAACACTTACCTTGCATGAATAGGAGAAGTAATAAAATAAAAATATAACGAAAGAGAGAGAGAAATATAAACGAACAAGCGGAACGTTGAAAAAAGAATGTTTGCTGTTTATCAAAAGAAATAAGTGAAGTTGAAGTGATAATCCAAAGTACACATAACGCACCCAAAAGAAACCACCATCAATCCCGTATAAATGAGAGCAAATTCCGTTTATTACAAGTAAGTGTGTGTGCGTGCGTGTTTGTATGTTTGTCCATTCGCGCGCGACAGAATAGCCCAACAATTGCACTTAGTTCTAGGTGTCGTAAATGGTGCGACGTGCATTTTAACGAGAACAAAAAACAATAACAAATAAATAAAAACCAAGCAGAACGAAAATCCGATTAAAATCAATACAATCTGGATTATCTAATGAACAAACAATACAAGCGAAACGAAACAGTCCAACATCAGCCACGAATGAATTTCGCTCGAGTGCTTACCATTCTTATCCGCACGCTCTAAATAATATTCCTTGACTCAAGTGCGTCTCGAGCAGAGAGCAACGTATTGCTTTTTGTGGTACTAGTATTGCAATATACAACAACAACAACAACACACACGTATACTCATTTTGGCACTTCCAGTTCATACCAAAAGCGTAAACTGACCGACTACACACTGAGCTTCAGCATGAATAAAGGTTTGTTTGTTTGCGTATAATTCGCATTTTCCTTTTTGTTTTCTTCTTCTTTTTTTTGCCATTGGAATTTGGTCTATTTTTTCCTTGTTATTCTGTTTTTCGCTTTAACATTCTTTGTCTAACAATACTTATCCCTGCTTAAGCCACTAAATGGATTGATTTTTGCAACGTTGCGGCCAAATTCGCTTGTTCACTGTTATGAAACTCTTCTTTTCCGCTTTTGGTTTCTGGACTCTTTCTGAACAGATTTCTTTCGATAAGGTACATATTAACGGGCCAAACCAATCGGTCTTCTAGCTACTCCTGCTACTCAGCTGCTGCTGAACCAAAGATGCTCGAAAACTTTTTTCTTCATCATATGTGACTTGGACATATTTTCTCCGATTTGTTTTATAAGATTGTATCGGGTTCAGGTGAAGTGAAGGGACGAAAACTTTCAAGCGTTACGAAATGCGTGCTAACGAATGCGGATGAATATTTTTGTACGATATTCTGATAACTTTATCCGCAATCATCAAATTCATTCGATGAAAAGGACGATGAGCATTGAAATCGTGTTATGAAACCATTCGTTATATTCCATTTAATGATTAGATAATTTTGTTCATCGTTTCATCACAATTGACACGAAAACCGTTTGCTGCGCAATTGAGCTTAATGAAAATATGATCCAATAATCACGTTGATGCATTGATTGCTTTTCTTTGTATCGATACCTCGGTGTGCGTAGTTTTATTTATGGATTTATGGTAATTTGCTTTCAGCGTTAGACATGAAATCAATTAATTTGGTGTTTCATTTTTGGTTTGAATGGAACAAAAAAAAACTAGATGTCAGACAAACAAACGATAACTTTAGTATAATAAATTATAGTTTCCATTGAAGTCAACACGACCAAATATCAATCAGATTCGAGCTCAACTATTCCATACTTAACATTCAACCATTTTTCTTTATTGTTTGCTTTGTCTGACCCATTTCATTGATTCAATTCAACGTCTCGCAATCAAAGCATTTTCATACAGTTTTCTCGTTGACAGTTTTAGTTTGTGTAAATATGAAATGCACAAGCGTTAATAATTTAGTCATTGTGATTCTTTTGATATTCAAACTTATTTCAACGCTGTGGCAAGCGATACGTTTGATAAAGACAACTGAGCCTCACTGCTTGGTCTGACCTGTAACAGGACAATTTGTTCAGTTTTTTTTCTCTCTCTTAACATCTCTTCTCTTCTTATGTGCCTCTTGTTTTTTCTGCAATTTCGATCGAATTTCTCTCAACTGACTGACTCAGACTATGTGCTATCGATTACATGTGATGGCCACGCCGAAACAGTGAATGAGGCCTATTGTACGGTGAGTATATGTCGCTCTTTACTGAATCCCAATCATCGTGTCAGTCAAACGCTTTCCACGTTGCAACGAGAACAAAAAAAAATTATTGATCGAATATTTGAAGAGAGAGAAAAAAAACCAACCAGCAACGACAATATATAGAATGTTTTTTTTTTACTTTATTTTTGTTCGTCTGGAAATTGTTGAGCATGCATTCATCCTTTCTTAATGCGATAAAGCTGATGGATTATGTGATTGGTTCGCAAAAACCATAAGCGTGTCTATTTTGTACAGATGAATAAGCATTTGAAACATCATATCAACGGACCGGAGAGAGAGAGAGAGAGAGAGAGAGAGAGAGAGAGAGAGAGGACGAGGCAACCATTACACAGAACGTTTCTTCGCCCACACTAGCAAATTTTAAGTGGGACAGATTCTGTGTGGCTTTTCTTCGAAACATAGAACAAAAATATCAGCCAACAGGAATGATCACATCAACAGTGTAATCTTAATTGTTCAAAACGGAAATAGACTGAATCAATTCGGAGAATATCTCATTCACGTTTTCGTGTATATTGACGTGTTATTTTTGTGTGTACAAAAGTAAGAGTGCACACCTTTGTGTGCAGCAAAAAACAAGAGCTGATTTTTTGGTTGGTTTGAAAAAGAAAAAAAAAACATCTCAAATTATATGCTTCCACAACGCAGCCCACTTTTCTCGACAAATGTGATATCAAAATAAATCAATCATTAAACTTTCTTCAAAGAATCGAAATGGACAATTTCGTTTTTTTGCTTGAAATTTCATTTTTTCTTAAATTAACTCAAGTCACGGAATGTTATTCAAAGTGTGCACGAAAAATCCACAAAAATACGTCAATAAATTAAAAATATCAGAAAACGTGAATGAGATATTCTCCGAATTGATTCAGCCTATTTCCGTTTTGAACAATTAAGATTATACTGTTGTCGTATTGTTGTTTGACAACAATTTGAAAGAATAAAAAATGATTCAAAATAGCATACACACAGAACTGGTAATTGAATTTAAAACGAATTTAGGGTTTTTTTTTCCATTCAAATGAAGAACCAATTTAAGAAACGTTCAAATAGAACTAAATGTTATTTGGATGAGATACGCATTTCTCTCCGTCAAATATCCTCATTTGCGGCGACCGGTTGAAGATTCAGCCAGCACCGAAGTTTTTCACTCAAAATATGGCCGGAATGGCCTTAGGAATGAGGATGAGTCATATTTAATGTAAGGCTTCCATATGCACAAAGAGCAACATTCGTAGTAAAAGTAACAACACAAATTACAGGATATTTATTTTTCCCGCAACTTTTGAAAAAGAAAAACAAAGCCATGTAATTAAATCGAGATATCTAGGAAATTCGGAGCTGCTTTTAAATGAGCGTGTGATAATATGTTTTCTTGGACCCTCAAAACATAAGCACGAGGCGAGCTGAAGCTCCGACGGCTTACCATATCGAACAGAAACCCGGAATGTTGAGAAAAAATAAACAACTAGATGATATTGAAAGCGAAGATAGATTACGGTAAATTTGTTGCACAGCACAAACATTGGGAAATTTTAATTATGTTATCTCTCTGGTGTGCTCCGTTTTTCCTTTGATTGCTTGCTCAATGGAATTCATGAAGATGCGATAAGGAAATGTCTCAACTTGAATATTTCCAACACATTTCCGCATTTTCCTTAAAATATTTGCCTCGTTGTCGGTTTCTTTGAAAAAGATTAAACCGAGCTTCCTAGCTCGCATTGAACATTGAACGTTGAATTTTTTATGGATGAATAAATAATTGCCGAACGCAAATTGAATGTCGTTTGCGTGTCGGTGTGTTTGGCAATTTGTTTCAATCTGGTAGAGTTTAACATACGTGTTTTATTTACTCAACCAAAGGAGAAAACAAATTTGATGTCTGTGGGCCGTCACACAGTTCAAAATTTACGCCCGACTATAGACGGAATTTCGGCTAGTATACGCTCTCAGTCTATATTTCGCCTAAATTCGTCTGAAATCTAGGCGAAAAATAGCTGGAATACAACTTACTCGGAGGAATATCGACTGAGAGCGTATACTAGCCGGAATTCCGTCTATATTCAGGCGTAAATTTTAAACAGTGCAATGTTGACTCAATGCCATTAAAGAGTTCAAATCATGGGGACTTTTTTAATTATAAATTCTGGTTCAAACATTTCATTGATTGAAGTGAGTGTGATTTTCTGATATCGTGGAAGATTTCTCGTTTCTTCTGGACCTAATGCGATGTTAAATTCTTGACGAAACGAGATCCGTTCCACCTCCGCGCAAAAGCAAACAAAAATAGAATGAATGTTTGCCATTTCGCTGTAATACGTCCAAACAATCTCATGTAATAATTGAATGTGGTGAATTGGATAATGATAGTCTAGTTTTGTGTGCGTGGTACACAAGAAAACATAATTGATTGTGGTGGAGCGAGGCGTGAGCAGCGGGAGGTGAAACATATTGTGATTGTTCGTTATACAATCAATTTTAATTTATTTTTTGGTGTTCTTTCTGCCTCGTTTGAATTACCGCACCAAAATTGGAGTGCGCAGATTGTTCAAGGGAAAAAAAGCCCAAATTCGTCGTATTGATTTGTTCAGTTTCGTTGCCCTGGCATCGGCCTGTGATTATGAGAAAAGAAAAAACCAAATGATCCTTGTACGAAATCAAACAACAAATAGACATTGATGAGGGTCCTTTCCTCTAACCAAAGCGGAAAAAAAACGGAGAGTGAGAGAATGGAAAAAAATACACCGAAACTTATTTTCTAGCTTAGTATTGAGTATGTTTTGCTCTGTGTTACGTGACTTATTGGTTGTAAATGCTGTAAGCTGGAGTGCTACAAAACCGAAACTCTATATGTGGCCATAATAATTGCCCGTGATATAGAAAGTTAATCGAAATGCATTTGTTGTAGAACAAGAGCTCTACATTGGGAGACGATTCTCCGTCCGCCACTGATTTCTCTTTCTCTTGCCCTGCCAAATACAAATCTAACTGTGCTCATGTTGGTTCGAAAAACTCATTTGCCATTCAGAGATTGTGAAATGTGATACAAACGAGCACGAGTGTAAGTGTCAGAAGACGAATGAGAGGGAGAGACAGGGACGAGGGAGACACACAAAACCAAGCAGACACATATCTTAAATGGTGATAATTAATCGTTGTCAATTTGAAGTTTATCTGCTTGTTTTTTTTCTCTTCTTCTGCCTTTTATCTTATTTTAACTGAAAATGTATTGCAGCTGAAGTCAAGCGTGTCACAGTGAATGTAGTCCCAACAAATCACTAGCAATCGCTTATAGTCAAAATGCATCACCGAACGGCAAAATAAAGTTTACACGAGGGGATGCTTGGCGTATACGCGCTAAATTCGAACCGATGAATATTTTAAGAAGAAATAAGTCTCAACGAAATTGCAGAAAATACAAAGAAAAAAAATGCGAACATGCTCCTTTCGAACATGCCAAAAAAAAAATCACATAACATACACACTTGCAACGATTCGGCGAAGGTTCAGTAAAAGAAAGTTGAGAAGGAAAAATTAATGATGGCACTTTTTACTTTCGCCATTTCGTATGAATATCACATTCCATATATTTACGTTCAGTTTGA